CGTGATATAAAATTTTATTGCATTTTTGAGCATAACTTACAATTCTGAGTTTTGATGATTTTTCCCAAAATTGGCCACGAGGCGCAGCAAGTTGCGGGACTAGGTGACTTGCACCATATTTATTTAGTACTTGACAATTTTCAAAAATCATGTGACTGTAAAATTTTTATTGCATTTTTTGATTGGAAATTTTTTCTCAAAATTATAGAAAGTGTTGATCCTATTACAGTCTAAGCTCTCTATACCAAACCCCCTGTCCCTATATGTAATTTTTTCGCTTTTGTTCGTTATAGAGAGAATTAATTATAAAAAATTGAATCTGGGACAAAAGGGAAGTTCGTTATAAAGAGACTTATTTATTATCAATATCAAATATTTCAGATAATTCATGAATACAAGCAGGTGAAATGGTTGATATTATGATAAAATACGAATCAGTCTATGGTAGACTTAAAATATAAACAATAATATTAATAATAGTAGTAACAATAGTAATAATGACAACAATAATAATATCAATAGTACGATAATAAATGTCGGCGGAATCCGGAAGGACAAAAAGAATTTATTATTGTATTTAACATGGAAGATAGGATTCAGTGCAATAATGATAACGCTGATGTTTTTGATGATTCATGTGGCAATACATTGACACCTGATTCATCGCCTAGAAACAATTTCAGATTGTTCATTTAAATCATTGTCTTTTATCAACAATTATAACAATGACAGTTCTTACTGAAGACAATAATATTAATATTAATCTCTCTGGTGAATAAATAAATGTATTCGCAGAATACTTTTATGTTTCAACAATATGATTTATTCATTATTTTATTATTGTACCATTATAAAAATATAATATAATCAAAATAAAATTTATTCTGATGATGGTTCACCAAAACCAATGTTTATTGGTGAGTCATCATTTTCTTGTGATATTAATGCTGATACCGACATCATATTCGATTGTTCATTTAATTCATTATCAGAGTTTTGTTGTTGCATGCCATCCAACACGGCCTTTTGATGCTCTCTTTCAACGTATTTGAACGCATTTTCCAACTCAACCTTTATTATATCTTCTTTTAAAACTATGTTTGAAGCTTTAGCCAATTTTTTTGATATTGTCTCCAAACATTCAACATCAAGAGTAATCCTTGCCAATTCGATAAGAAATCGAATGTACTGATGAACATATACAAAATGTCTTCCTGATCTATTTAATGGATATATATTTACTAGTTATTAAGATTATAAAACAATTTCTTTTAAAGATTCAATGTAATATATATATTAATATTAATTAACACATATTACCTTTCAAATTCTGGTTTCCATACATTCATCATTGCTTTAGATGTGACTTTCAACTGGAAAAGATTTTGTAATATCAATTTGGCTTCTTCTGATTTCCGCTCAACATGATAAGTTAACCATGCATGCTAAATAATAAATTGATTGCTGTGATAACATTATAAACAACCAAATATATACATAAAGTTAATTGAAATAAAATTTACCCTAAATACAGGTCGATGTTGCCATTTATTTTTGTCCATTTTACGAATATCAGCTATTCTTGAAGAAATTAAATTGTATGCATATTGATATTCTGGCCTTTCCATATTAAAACTACCAGGATCTTTATCTGATGGCTTTAAATGTAATGGTGCGCCTGAATTATCTGACAGCATTTCCTCTACAAAATATGGCTAATCCCATTCATTTTTAAAATAAAATGAGTATATATCATTGTAAATTTTGAAAAATTAACTAATTTTTACCTTAATTTTACTGGTTATCATAAATTTTGCCAATGTAGATGTTAACTTATATTCCGTATCTACTAGTCTTTCTTGTCCAATTATTCCTGATTTTTCCGGAGTTCTATCAACTGCTAATTTATATAAACATAGTACCGACTTTGCAATTTTTATGTAACATTATTATTTTTCAAAGAGGAAAAACATATTGAATAACTATGCGTTAAAAAAATAATACCTCTGCTGATTTTCCTAGCTTTTGATAACACTTTCCAAGCATGTATGGCAATCTCCAATCTTCTTCATATATTATTGAATTGCCGTTGCTTTCATTTACCTTTAACTTTTTAAACAGTAGTTTTTCCGATTCTAATGCTCTACCAAAACAATGTGCTGCAAATGCATATAAATCATTGGGATTAGGTTTACGCCAGATGTCAGAATGATCCGGATTCAATTTGAAGGCTTCCATTGACATAGGTTCAGTTGTCATTGAATAAACAAGATATCCAAATTCTCGCCAGAAATTAATTTCTTCGGTTGGTGAAGTAGGTGCATGATGATTCGGAAACCAAGTTAAAATTTTAGCAGATCTTACAAAACAAAGAAAAGATTTCTGAAAATATATATATAAAAATTAAAAAAAATTCTTTGATGTTTTCCAATCATAGTCAAAGCAAAAAAAAATATAGTGATACCTTTTGAAATTCTGTAATTTTTGCATGACTATTAACAATTTCAATAGCATTCCACGTTAAAGATTCATCAGCCAAACTAGCATAACAGGAGCCGAGGGCATACCAAGTTGAATATCTTAATGGGCAGATGTAATAATCTAACTAATAAATTAATAAATATGATTATTTATTAATATTTAAGCAAGCACTTGAAAGATATTAAGAAAAAGTCATATGATTTCTATTTTCTTACTGTGAATTGTTCTATTGCCTTTTCCAATAATTCAATCGCTTTATATTGATTTGATTTTGATGAACGACTTTTGAATTGATGGTGTAAGATTTTGCCACGAAAATAATAAAGATCTGAAATATCTTTTAAAAGCATGTATTAAGTTAAATAATCAAATACTTAAAAAAATCAAAGGTATAAGATAAATAAAAATAAAGTCTACCATTCTCCTCATCACAAGAAATTGCAGCGAGATCATTAATATAATGATCATGCTCTTGATACTGAACAGCTTCATAAAAACAGATTTCATCTTCTAAGTAATGTTGTGTTCTATAGCTACATTTTTTTAATTCTATAAAAATTTCTTTTTTAGTAATCATAAATTATTAATAAATATATATTTATTATCACTATAATTACACCTACTTTCATCTGTTGGTGGTTCCACTATAGAAGCCATAGCGTCTAAAAACTCTTTGATATCGTTTTTGAACACCCAGGTTTTTGATGATTTTTCACTTATAAAATTTCTTACTCTTCTATAAATTAATTTTGCAGTTTCAAAATCCAATTCAATTGCTGGCACGTCATGATCCCATGGCAATTCTGCATCAATCTAAAAAAAATCAAATTTTAATCATAATAGGAAAAACAATAAACAATATATATATATTTCAACATACAGTTAATGAAACTCCATATAAACAGTGACAACATTGGTATTCATGTTGAAGGTTTTCGGATGCATCCAATTCAGCAAATGTGTTGAGGCAAAATTTTAAAAATGAACCTGTTTACATAAAATTTGAGATAAATTGATTAAATATTTAATAAACAGATATAAACAATTATACAAAAATCTATAACTTAAAACATTACCATTATCTGAACAACAAATCCTTCGAGCGCCTAATTGATCATGAACAGTTGCAAGAAATTCAGCAAAATCATCATTCTCCACATATGAAGGAGCTCCACGTAATATATAATAAAATAATATCCAAACACGAATACAAAGGACATTAAGTGGTTCACTAATATCATATTCAGCAGTAGAAAGTTCTTGCTTCCGAGGGAAAAGGATTAATAAACTTATGTGATATAAAACCCGAAAATTTTCAATAAATTGTTGTAGTAAATTCTCTGATAAGTTTGCTATTCAAAATCAAAATCAAGATCAAAATCAAAACCAAAATAATAATAATAATAAATAAACTGTAATAATGATTGTAATTTTTTTAAAGAAGCAAACCTATAGATTGACCATCCTTTATGGCATTAGTAACTTTCGAAAGTGCTTCATTAATCTATCATAAAACCAATTAATATTAATGTTAATATTACCAGCATTGATAAATATTATACAAGAATTTCTTAACTGAATGTATGGTAGTCCAAAATTGAACAACCAAATCTTCATCAATATTATCCGAAACACAATTCAACAAAAAGTTTACTGAGTCTATAAAGTGTAATATTGTACGTGACCAATTGTCTTGTGGTAAATCTTTTTGAGATTCTAACAAGTCAATTTTATTATTTATGGTTGTGTTATTTATATATGGATCAAATGAACTTAAAAGAAATATTAGATTTAATACTTAATTTTATAAGAAATAAAATCGTTTTTTTGAAAATATTTCATATTACCTATTTGTCAATAAAATATCATTAATTTCGGTAAGCAAAGTAAGTTCTTTAAAAGAAGACATTGCCCTTTCTGGATTTTTTAAAAATAAAGACATTTTGCCTTTGCACCACCAATATCTAATGCAATTAATAATAATTTAGCATTATAATTAAGAATAAAAGATATTCAAGTAATCTTATGCATTATATTACCTTGTAAGTAATTGATGTGACCATTCCTTCCATTTTTTGTAATGACATTGTAGTTTTCCAACATCGCCAATAGATTTTTCTATCTTTGCTTCTAAATCAAGTAAATAACTGGAGAAATTCCAGTTTGAAGAAATGAGGGACCATTCACAATCTTCTATTACTAATTGCCATTCCTAAAGTAAAAAACATAGATTTATATCTGTTATTAATGTCCTTAGGACGCAATATATATTTTAAATCTTAACTAAATCTTACTAAAGATGTTTTTAAAGAAATGCTAGAAGTAGCTTGATTATCATCTTCGTTTATATATTCTCCTGATCTAGATATGTGAGAATCAATAGCAAATTCAAAAAAAGCCAATAAAATCTAATGCATGCATGTGTGTGTACATATGCGTTAACAAATATATTTTTTGAAAAGTTTAATGTATTTTTATTGATTGCTTCTTTTTTATTTATATAAATATACCTCTGAAAGTTGCTTCCTTTTTTGGAAAGGGGATGTTTCACTTTCATCCATCATTATTGCTGCATTTCCATCGTCACCATTCCATGCAGAACAGGTATTTGATAACATATCTATAAACTGTTCATATATTCTGTTAATAATATCTCTTACAATGTCTTTTAACCCTTCTGGCCAACGACACAGCCAGAGAGTTTTCTTTTTTATTTCTTGATCTGAATCTTCTGAATCTACAAACTTTCCAAATAGGTACATAAGATAGGAACACAAATAATCTATTATCCCCACATTTTTCTCATTCATTTTTTCGACAAATTGTTTTACCATTTCTCCAACTTGAGTTTCATCAAAATATGGATCAGGGGGAGGTGGGTTTGTATGAGGAATAAACATGTACAAACTAGAGTCAGAAGATAATTTTGATCTTTTATACAATATAAATATCTTAATTAATAAGCCGATAATAATTCAAAAAAAAGCATCATAATGTAAATATACCTTGGGTTATTTTTAGCCTCTTTAATTATCGCTTCATGATCTTCGATGGATACGTGGTTCATCCATAGCTTGTCGAAGAATAATAAGAATCTATCAACTTCTTCGGATGGATGTTTATTTCTAATAGAATATTCAGGATTAATTTTCTTAATAATTGACTCTATTTTGTTTGTAAATTCTTCTGTTTCTTCATCTCGTTTACGATTAAACGAATCGATTTGTTCATTTTGTTTAGTACGAGCTCTTCTGTTAAGTCTTCATTTTAATAAATTGTTATTAGAATGGTAAAATTATTATTTGTATATAATAATTTTTGTTTAGAATATTACATACCCATACCTTGCAACCTTTGATTTTCCACAGGTATAATCAGTATTTGTTGTTGTATCCTTTCTTTTGCGTTTTTGACAAGCACCATTAATATCATTGTCTATAAAAGTTTTTTCTTGATAATTTTTTAAATCTATATAAATATGAGGACTCGAAGCAGGAAAATTGGAATCATCACTTTTATGACATTTTCTAAATATTTAATTTAATAATTTTAAAAAATGAATTATATAATGATATAAAAAAATTTTTTAAAAATAACAAGTTACTCTGTAGCTATTTTATCGCAAATTCTTATTAAAAGTTCTCCAAGATCATTCCATGTATAAGTGTTTAAAACAAAACACAATGAATTCATCGGAGTATGACTAATGTAACCTAGGAAATAAATATATTAAAATAAAGACAATGTGTATATATATTATTATTATTATACTAACTCATCGTTCTAATATGTCTTTGTATATATTTGAAATTTATAGGTTTTTTTATAGGAGGAGCAATTTCATAATAATTTCTAATAAATATGATCAGTTAATAAAATTGTTTGAAAGAAAATTTATGTATGATAATTCTAAATTTTAAATAAAATTTTTTTACTGTGGTAAAATAAGTTTAACCCAGGTATCATTTAAAAGTTGGTATCTTAATTGGTTTAGAAATCCATTTTCAGGATCAAGAGTTATGCCTTTATCAACTATATTTAGGCATCTTTCAAAAGATCCTGTATCATATAATAGCTATAAAATTTAAAGATATTATAAGTGTAGATAGATAAACTGGACAAACATGTATACCTATATGTATATATTGAACATACCTTAGATAGATTTTCTAAAGCTTCCTTACGATTTGGAGAAAGAAATGTATATTTCAATGGCTTGTCTATTGAATTATCAAAAATATTTAAATCTTCAAGTGCATTTATAAATGCATTTTCTGCTAATGGGAGATCGTTGACTTCATCAGAAATAGCAAGATTTCCAATCTTGAGCCATATACTCTGATCAGTTGAATCAATCTCCAATGCCTATATTATATAAATATATATATTTAATGGAATAATACAACTCAATTATCTTTTAATATGGTATGGAAATTTTACCTTTTGAAAATATTCAATTGCGTCTTGAGCAGAAATTTTTGATTTATTATGAAGATATTCATGATCTAAATTTTCAGCATAATTTTTTAATGCACAAAATTTTAATCTAGTGATTCTTTGTGATAATGATGTTCTGTTGTCTGATTCCTAAAGAAAAATTTTAAATTAATCGGTTGTTTGGATGAATAAATTAGTTTTTATATATTATTTACCTGAAATAAGGAATCCTGCATTAAGTCGTGCTTTAAGAGTTTATGATATAGTTGTCTTGCTTTTTGAAGATCGCTTCGTAAAGCTAAATTATAGAGTGTCTCGCATTCTCGTAACTGATATGCAAACACTTGAAATTAGTAAAATAAATAAATATTTTTAAAAAATAATAATGATGATAATTAATTTACTGGAGCATCAAATGGATCTTTGGGTTTTTCAACTTCTGCGAGTTTATTGTTATCATTTATAGCAGTAAATTGTATCACCTATTTTGAATGAGAGATTTAATATAGTATATTCGACTTTGCAAACATCAATAAACTTTTAAATTGGATACATACAACCATTTTCTTTTGTTAGTTTTGAGAGGGAAAGATGCAAGAAAAAATTTTTTTAATGGGAAAAAAGGTATAATTATTATTTTATATTATAATTGTGAAAATAATAGAACAACTAACAAATTAATCGTGTGCGTGATCAGGAGATCTGCAAGTTAATTGTAAATAATCTAAATTCTTTAACCCAAATTTTAATAAAATAGAATCTAAATCTTGAAGCTTTAAGTTGGAGTAAAAAAGAAATGGCTATCGATGCTGTCAGCATTTATTATTAGTAATGGAAATAGGCTCAGATACATGGAAATTAATGGTTCCCCAATTGATAAGGATTAGTTGATTGAACTCATTAAATCAATCAGACAAATTAAAAAGTACCATTTTTTTTTAATAAAGAATAAGTACCGCAACTAAAGTATCGGCTAGGATGTTGTGAGCCCATCAAGGCTCACTGAACCTGTGCTACATAGAAAATGGACAATCTTGGCCATATTAAGGACTTCATTTCTTTTTTTCATTTTCTAAAGAGGGAGGTTCCTTGATTCCATGTTCTGATACTTGACGTTTTTATAATGTAGAAGCCAATATATCAGCATATTATTTATTATTTTCCAAGGCCTTGGACTTTCCTTCGTCGTAATTTGATATATAGATAATTTAAAAGTTTCAAACTCATTAATTAAACCTCTTTCTTTGTACCTTCTTGTGTTTTATAGTTTTATGCCCAGACACACCTTCCATAACTACTAGCTTATCATCACCATATTTTGATATTTTTGTTCTTTTTGTTCATTAATAAATTTAAATTTCTTTTTCATAGAAATTCAAAATTACAATATAGTTAGTTATTTCAGTCAATTCACCAATTTCATAATTGACTCTTTAAATCTTTTGTGTTATTATTACTTACTTAACTTTCTTTTATTTGCTGTATATCTGAGAGTTGTACACTAAATCAGATCTCCCCTATTTGGAAAAATTTAATAGTTCCACATTATTTTCTATATATTCCATCTTTCTCACTTTCACCCATTTTTTTCCTTTATTGTTTTTTGAATGGACCGAGTTAAATATTAATATTAAATCAAAACCAACTGAAATTTTGGATCAGTTTTGAGTTTGACCTGAATGTTTTAAAGGCAAACCCAAGACTGACCCAAAATTTTTGAGTTGGTTTCGAGTCTGATATTATATTTTGCACTAAGAAAGCAAGTCCTAACAAATTCGCATATGAAAATTTATATTTCTGCTAATCTTTCAATTAAAAGAATTTTATTTTATTTGCTCATTTTATTAATTAAAATAAAAAGTGAAATAGTTATGATTACTGTACATGTGTTGTTGGGGCAGTTGATTATCAAAATTAAATAACATCCATCAATAATAAAATTTTAATATATGCCAATAAATATATATGTGCACACAATTTTTAAATCAATAACTCATTTTATGTTTAAATAATCATTATCCTTGTATTAAGAAGCTCATTATAGTAAAAAATTTTTTTTGTGATTTCTATTCAACATCACTTAATTAAAAAATTATTTTTACAGATTGAGTGGGTTTGGATTGAAGTTTTTTTGTGTACAAATCAGGTTCAGGTTGAGATTTTATAATTTTTTTGTATACAAGTTGGATTCGAGTTGAGATTTTTATAATTTTTTTAATGGCAGGTTGGATTTCAGGTTGGGTATACATTAAGGATACCGGCTGCAACTTTTGATGATGGTTGCTACCATCTTTGCGTCATATAAAAACGATTGCAACCACTGGTTGCAACCACCTTTACAACCATTTTGTTTCCTTTTTTGGATTGCGACATGGAACACTAGCAACTCTATATCGCCATTTACATATTAACTGGATTCTAAATCAAGTTGAAGCAGGAAATGATATAAAAATTTTAAAAATGGATGTACTACAGGTAAAGACACCTGCCATAATTGGTTATTTGTGGCAATGGCAACTACCATTATAAAATATTTATGGCTACCGCAAACAAATATAACTGCCACAAATAAATACAGCTGCCATAAATAGATACAACTGCTGCAAATAGATGTGGTTTCACAAACAGATATGGCTGCAAATAGATGCAGTTGCCATAAATAGATATGGCTGCCACAAACAGATACAGATGCTGCAAACAGGCACAACTGTCACAAATTTTATTTTTACACATAAGTTCACTGTAAATGAATGACCAACTAATTGAATTCATCAATTACAATTCAAAAAATTCAGTTACTGCAGATCACAAATAATTCAAGAAAATTTTGCATGATTAATAATGTTAATGAGAATAATTAAAAACTATTTCCAGCAGTCATGGTTATTTGCAGTAGTTGCATCTATTTGCAGCAGTTGTATCTATTTATGGTAACTGCATCCATTTGCAGCAGCCATAATTATTTATGGCAAATGGTAGCTATCAATAGCTATTTATGGCAATGGTAGCTACCAGCCCAATCATTTATGGCAAGTGCTTTAACTACAGGCAATAAAATTTATTATTAAAAGTTGGAAGGAAGTGTCACCACAAACCATTTATAATTGATGGCATCATACTAAAATTCTTCCGACCAAATTAATCCAATCTCTCTGATGATATTAATGATCCAACAACAAACCAACTTTCTCAAGCAGTCACTTGCTCTCAATCTAAATGATGCAATACCTATTCAAGAATATTTGAATAATCCAGAAGAAGGAACTGTATATGAAGCCCCTGATGATGATAATATTATTGAAGTTCTTGTGGAAATGTATAGACAGCAGATACTAAGGATACTGGCTGCAACTTTTGATGATGGTTGCTACCATCTTTGCATCATATAAAAACGATTGCAACCACTGGTTGCAACCACCTTTACAACCATTTTGTTTCCTTTTTTGGATTGCGACATGGAACACTAGCAACTCTAGACTAATCAAAATCTATAAGTGGTGCATGCTTTCCCCCATTTTTTATATTTTTGTATGACAATCACTAATTAATCATATTAATATTAATATTAATATATTTATAGAGGGATTAACGCCAATTTTGATCCCTGAAATTTCTGGTAATACCAATGTTCACTTTGGTTTTGTTGCAGCATGCTCCATATAATGTCCGCAAATCGTCAATTAAAATTTTTCATAAAATAAAAAAAGAAATGTTTGATGATGATTGATGATATTTTATCAATTCAATTCAAATCGGCTTACAATTTTCTAAATAAAAATCAAAAAGTTAACTTTCCAAATGAGATAAAACTTCAAGTAATAAAATTGTATATGTATTAATTTGATTAATTCGATGAATGTTATTAATAACTTTATTTGATAAATAGTTATATGCTAATTTTAAAATTGCAACAGTTGGAAATTGTAATACATCAAAACCATCACTTTTAGATTTTAGGGGTAGAGCAAAATGGGATGCATGGAAAGAGAAGGATGACATCACCAAAGAACAAGCCATGTTACAATATATTGACATTGTAGAAAAGGCAAATGTTGGTTGGGACAGATATAAAATGTTAAATGATGATGATGACGATGATGATGATGATAGTGAAAGAAAAGGAGAGTGTAACAAGAATGAAAATGAAGAAAATGAATTTGAGGTTAAATGAAGAATTGTTATCATTATTTTCTTTTGTATATTTATATATTCATTTTATATTTTTTTACATAATGAATAAATAGGAATTTGGATCTAATCCAAAAGAGAGATGGACTTATGTTTCTACAATGTCATATGAAGATGATGATGACAATTCAAAGTTTGTTGATATTTAATATTAATAATAATATAAATACTACTAGGAAATTTTTACATTTTATTGTTTTATATTATAAATAAGGGAAGAAGATGATGATGCTATATTTAAATATGTGAAACAAGGCAAGTTGAATGAAGTAAATGAAATAATATTGGATCAAGATAAAAAAACGGATTTAAATAAGAAAGACAATCAGGTACTCAAGAATAATATTTTGTATTTGTTTCTTTTTTTATTTCTTTAATTAATCATTGTTTTTTTTTTTTGGATATAGGGCTTGACACTTTTACATTGGGCATGTGATCGTGGACATTTAGATATTGTTAAATTGTTAATTGAAAATGATGCAGATATAAATGTTTTGGTAATCTTTTTTTTTTAATTTAAATTCATATTATAATTATAACTCTTTGTTATTTTTTTCTAAATTTAAATTTTTTTTTAGAGTGTTGATAATGAAACACCAATGCATTATGGTAACTTTAAAAATAATAATTTTATAGTGGAAAATCTTATAATCTTAAATTCTTATTTTTATTATAAATTATAAATTACTTATTTTTAGCATGTCTTTCAGAACAACTGGAATGTGCTCGTTATCTTTATAAAAATAATGCTGATTTATCAATTAAAGACAACGAGGGATTGACTGCATTTGAACATTGTGGCAATGAATACAAAAATTTAATTTTGCAAACTTAATTAATTAATAAAGTCTTGAATTTATTAGTGATACAATTTCTACATGGACAAAGTATAGCACAGCTAGATGGAACTTTGACTAGATATTGATTTTTCTTTTTCTTTTTCTTTTTCTTTTTTTTAATTAATGGATCAATATACCCAAATGTATTTAAAATGCAACAAAACCAGATTACAAAGAAATTTCACAATTGTATCACATGGTTGAATTAATATAACCCTCTCATCTATCTCTCTAATCGCTTTAAAATTCGACTTGATTCGATTCGTACAGAGTCCTACCTCTTGGTTTATTACTAGCTTATAACTTATTTAAAAATGTTCAATAGATGACCAGAATTCAAAAGCGAAAATCTTGATGAACAAAAGAAATTCAACAAATGTGCCAAAAGCAGACAATGACAAGTTTCTTATCTGCCTTAATCCAAGCTTACTAACAGAATAAGAATATCTGCTGCTAGTGTAGGGACCCTGGTTCTGTGAGATGTCACATCAAATGTGTATGTACGGAATTGATAATTCACTGCACAAACATATTAATATGTGTAATGCTAACATGTACAAGTTCGTGGTTTTTTCACCCTGGTAGTGTGCACCTTTTTCACGCCAGTTGCATTAATACATTCATTCACTATTAATATAAAAATTACAATCTTAACGCCAAAAAAAATTCTTCGTCATCAAAATCATCAAACACTAGTAATTGATTTTAATGATTCAAAAAAACCTGCATCTAAACCTATCTTGCGTACTATGTAAAAGTCGTTCCTGTTGGCTTCAGAAGCAAAAATCAAAAAAAGCATCAACTTGTGTGTATCTAAAAGCTGCTCTACATACCAATATTGACATGTCTATGTGTGTTCAAACTCGGGCACAATCAAATATGTTTTGATTTTTTTCATCAGTAATAGTTGGTAATAAAATCGAATGCCCTAAATTTTTCCATATTAATACAGTTCACTCTCTCTATAACGAACCCTCTTCCCTATATGTAATTTCTCTGCTTTTGGTCGTTATAGAGAGAGTTTATTAAGATGGTCATTATAGAGAGAGAAATTAATTATAAAAAATTGAAACGGGGACAAAAGGGAAGTTCGTTATAGAGAAATTTTACTTAGTGGTCGTTATAGAGAGGGTTGTTATAGAGAGAGTAGACTGTATAAACTCGATAAGTCGGACGCAGCAATCAATTGTTTAAAGTACTCGATAATAGACCGAGTTTACATCTGTAACTTGCATTTATAACAGATTAAAAAAATACAATGATTGTTCGATAAAATGATACAAATTTCAATTATCTACAAATATACAAGAACGAAGAAAAAAGTCCTACTTATAAAACTTGTACAGAGAATACACAGAAAAACAGTGCTAGTACATTTTTTGTAAAAATTTTTGTGCGATAATTCTATTAATATTGTTTCGATCATTTTTACAAACCTCAAAAACGTTTAGTAATGGAAATTTCTAAATTATTAACGAGTGGGTCTTTTTAATAGAAAACAAACAGCTTATCCCAATAAAATTTGTGGTTTCAATTTCGTGTACGATGTGTAATGGTTTGTTAAAATCTTTGTTTTACAAATCTTTTAATAATAAATTACTAAAAAAGGGACAGTACAAGTTTAACAAAAAATGGAATGGTCAAGACTTTGGAAAATCGTCTATTTGTGAAAAATCAGAGGTTTTTAGTAATCATTTATAGAACACTGCTATGGAGAGAATATGATTATTTCATATAGCCTTTTGAAAGTGTAATAAAGCAAAAAGTATTACAACGAATAAAAAATTTTGATGTATTTCCAAAAAGGTTTTTACACCGTTAGCACCTTTCCATATACCAGGGTTGCAATCGACGAGTCAATTGCCATTAATAAAATACTATGGTTAAATTGTTACATCAATGGATCAAATGGACGTGTATCATGGCCAACCCTGTTATATACCACTACCATTTATATACGTAAATTTGGTATTTGTATCTTTGAAAATGAAAGAGTAATAATTCAAAAACAGTATTTTACTAATATTAACGTTACGGAACTCTCAATCGTTAAGACTCCTATAAAATCATTCTATTTGTGAAAATATTAAAGGAGGCTTTATCTGAAAGAACACTGGAGAAAATATTTATTTCATACAGTTTTTATAAATAAAACTCTATAGTCCCTCAAATGGGTTTTTTATACATTTAACATTTTTATAATCATAAATCTCTCCATAGCTCTATACTTACCTACATACTACCTTTTGTACAAATATTGTATCTATGTCCTTGAAAATGAAGGAGTGGAAATTTGAAAATGATATGTTTTAAGGAAATTCTGTTAGTAATAAATACATGATATATGACATTAATTAGATTTGATTTTCAAATTAGAAAGTATTCCCATTTTTTATTTAGTAATGAAAAAGAAATAACATACAAATTATATGTATTACCTATGTGTGTGTGTATATATATATAAGTTGTAAAATAATTAATAATTATATTATATTGTTTATTATATATTAAAAATCATAGCTAGTTAACTACCATTTACTAATTATTAATCAGTGTTAAAGTCCATACTAAAAGAATTCTTTTTTTTTTGAATGATATTTATTACTAAAAAAAAATCTTTTATGCAACTTCTTTTTTCTTCCTATAATCCTTTATTGCAGATTTTATAGCATCTTCAGCAAGCACTACATATTATTATTTAAGTATTAGTAGACGTACTTTACAAAGAAATTCATATATTATTACAAGAACCTACTTGAACAATGTAATTTAACAGGTGGCAAGGATAATTCTTTGGCGATTTCTGTATTTTTTATTTTACTAGCTTCATCCAATGACATTCCACGTACACGTTCTGTCATAAAACTTGAAGACGCTATAGCAGAACCACATCCAAATGTTTTAAATTTCACATCAACTATTTTACCACTTTGTTCATCAACTCTTATTTGAAGTTTCATAACATCTCCACAAGCCGGTGCTCCTACAAGTCCTGTACCAACATCTGGATCTGATTTTGGAAGTGAACCAACATTTCGTGGTCGTTCATAATGTTCAATGACCTATATATTTTTTATTTATTTATAAGTTCATAAAATTAATATTTAACAAGAAAAAATTTTTTAAATTTGCAAGTGTATGATGTCGCTGCTTTTTATTTATTTGTTTGTTTATTTAATTTCACCTTTTCATGATATGAACGTATTAAACCAATTGTAAGAGAACGAGGTATGGTTGAAAAGGTGGTGGTTGTTTGGTTTATTAACTTTTTATTATTTGAAAGAATTATATTTCTCAACATTTTTATTTATTTCGTTTTGTGTGAAAAGTTTTTCACAAGAAAATCTTTTTCAATGAACTATTTATAGTTATTATTATTGCTTCTTATCAGATTTATCGTTTATCGTTATCAGATTGTACGTAATTTTATTTATCATTATCTGACATTAAAATTTGTAATACAGATTTTTTTCATTATTATTATTAATCTTAATATTAACAATACTAAAACCAGTTTAATGGGCGGGCTGATCTCTATTTAAATGATCGGCACTATATCAAAAGATTATCTTAATTTTTTATTTGTTAATTATGGATAGACTTATCAGAAATTATATGACAACATTAAATGAGTCAACCTCTTCTAATGAAGAAGAACTCAAAGAAATTACTTCTTCTATAATACAATGTAAATATCATGATTTAATTTATAATTGACTAATTAACTAATATTTATTTATGATAATTTTCTTTCTAGGTTTAAAAAATAACCAAGGAACATTATTATCAGTTGTGCAGCAATTAGGCGACTTTCTTACCAGTGAAGATGCAACCTTTCGTTCTAAAGGTATGCAATATCGATTTCAATATTAATTTTTTTTAAATCCAATCTCTAACATTTATTTATTCACATTAGGTGTCAATCTTTTATCGGCTATTTTAATTGAATGTCCAAGGGAACTAGTGAATCAAACTGTTGGTACATACATGTATTTATACATGTGCGCGCGCGCGCGTGTGCAGATTTATGCATAAGTGTTTATATTGATTTTCTAATTATTATTTTCTGGGTTTTTTTACTAGTAAATGTTTTAGTAGAATTTTATTGTGAAAGATTATCAGACACAGAGAGTGTACCAGAACTTGTCAAAGGATTATACGCACTTTCACAATTTGAGACTTTTGGAGATGAAAATTCCATTAGAGTTATTAAATTGTTATGTGTTTTAATTTAATTTATACATTGATATATAATTAGCCAGCCTATGTGGATATTAATATCATTATTGATAATTTTTATAGAATATTTTCTACATTATATGTTCAAAACTTTCTTCAAACGACAAGACATTATGTATTTCAAATTATTGAAATTTTGTTTAGATTGCATTTTAATGGTAAATTTTTAACTTAATTATTATTTATTATATACAAATCTAATTTTCAATTTTTTATTATTTTTCTCATAGCATTGAAACAAATAGAATCAGAGTTTATCGCTGGTTTTATTCAAGTGATGGATGGTGAAAAAGATCCAAGAAATTTATTGTTGGCATTTTTTTTAGTTAAATCGATAATCAGAGAATTTGATATTTCTAATAATATAGAGGTAATCATCATTAAATTATTAAATTATTATTTATTTATGTTTTTAAAATTTATTAAATTTATTTATTTAGGCATTATTTGAAGTGATATTCTGTTACTTTCCAATTACATTTAAACCCCCACTTGACGATCCATATGGAATTACTGCTGAGGATTTAAAAATTGCTTTAAGGTTTATTTTTATTATCTAATTTTTCATAATTATAAAAACATTATTATTAATGAAAAAATAATTTTAATGTTTAGGGAGTGTTTATCCAGTACTCCATATTTCGGAAAATCTGCAATGCCGTTACTAATTGAAAAATTAAGTTCAAGTTCTGGAAACGCAAAGGTTTTTCTAAATTTTTAAAATTTACGATTCTTTAGTAAATTAATAATGATGATGATGATATATATTTTTTTAGAAAGATTCTATGGAAACAATAGCAGTTTGTGCTCCAGTTTATGGAGCAAACTCTTTAATAGAATTTTTAGATGTTTTATGGGAGTATTTAAAAGATGAAGTAATAAATAAATAAACAAACAAATAAATATATAAATAAATAAATATATATATATATATTAATTAATTAATTAAATAATATTTTAATTTGATAGGTCATTAATTCAACAGATAAATCTAGTGAAAATATTGCGCTTGATACAATACGTAGTATTGTTTATACACTATCAATGGAAGTGGTTGAAAAATCAGAGCACCTTAAAGAATTCTTAAAGATTATTGTAGATGAATGTATGGAGAATATAGAACGGCCGGAATTAAAATTGGCTAAACCTAGTGGCATAATACTAAAACATTGTTTAATGGCTTCAGGTAAAAGACTATTCAATTATTATTATTACTGCTATAACTACTATTACTACTGCTGCTGCTATTATTATTATCGCTACTATTATTATTATCATAATTAATATTGTCATTATTAATATTATCACAACAATAGATCCATCATATAATTTAATTATATCTGCTACATTAAGTAAATTGCTTCTTAAATATAGGTCAAGTGAATTATTATTAACCAGTAAAAAAGAAATATTAAAAGTTATAAATGAATTCGTTATCGCAAGTCAATATTTATATGGAACAATTTATGAACCAAAATTTGATTCAGGTAAATTATTAAAATTATTAAATATTTATTTATAATAATTTTATACACACACACACACACATATTTTTTTTTTTTTTGGAAAACAATTAGATTACGATTTCACTACACCATTAATTTCATACAAAGATGAATTACTTGAAATATTTAGTTCAGCGTTATTATCAATTAATGAATATAATGAATTAAGATCGATCGGAGTAAATGGTATATATAATATGATATTGTTAGATAAATTTCTATCAGATGATGAAATATCAATCCTATTGCAGTATTATAATCAAATTATTTTAAATGAACTTGATCAAGAACTATTGTAAGTAAATAGTAATAATAATCATTATTGGTTATTATTAACAATGTTGATTTATTAATATTTATATTGTATTTTATAGTGATGAAACTTTAAAATTATTATCGGATATTTCCAAGTATAAATCGAATTTGATATTAGAGATTACTTTACCAATAATTTTGGACAAACTTCCAAATAATGAGAATGATCTCATAACAAATAATATTCATTATGATGATAAATTATACATAAGATTGTTAAAGGCTTTATCAGAATTATCAATTCAACCGATTCTATTTGAAAATTATTTACCAAATATATTAAAGACCATAAATAATTTAGATGTCGATCCAAGTAAGGTTTATTTATAAAATTTTCAATAAAAAATGATACAAGTATTCTAATGACAATTCTAATATATATACACATTCGTAGTTTCATCAATTGAAATAGTTAATGATTACTTAGAATCTTTACTTAATTCATTACTGATGGTATTAACTAAAAAAACACAATTGAATTATAAAGAATCTATAAATTATCATGAGATAATAATAAAAAATTTACTATTAAAATGTATTCAACCAACTTTGTCAAGTGAAGAGAAACATGAGAATTTATATTTCAATCTGAATATTATTAAGATAATTGGTGATATTTTATCATTGCTGATCAGAAATTTAAATGTTAGGTAAAGTAAAAATAAAAAAAAAAACAGATTTTTTGGTTAATATTATAATTTCCAATATATATATATATATATATATATGCATACATTTAATTTATATCTCCCTCAGTGAACAAACATTAATGGTAAATGAGATTTTTAATTTGTTTACAAAAGGAAGTTTAGACTATATAAATTATAGTAATAAGGAATCATTAACATTCAATCCATTATCGGTAAGTGTTAATTTTATTACTTGTCTTAATTAATCTATCAGTTAATACACTCGTGATTTATTTATCATTTTTATTTATTTTAAAAATAATGGAAATTTAGATTGAATCTAATGTAACTCAACAAAATTTAATATTGCTATTTACTTCAATAGTGGGATCAATTAAACCAAAAGTATGTGAGATATCTTTTGACAATAACAATTTTATTAGTACTATAATGGTTTTACTCTTTTTAGGCTAAACTTCCATTGGAAAATATTTCTGAATTTTTATCAAACATGCAAAATTTAATATTGTCAACAACAAATAAAATACAACAAAATTCCTTATGCCAATTATTTGCTTGTATCATAAATAAATGGGAAAATGGTAAATGTTTATTATCAATATTATTGTTAATAATAATCAGCTTTTATATATATATATATTTATTTATTATTATTTTACTTATTTTTCACCACTTAATATAATGTATACGTGTGTGATATATTATTTGATTAGAAAATGAATTAAATAATTATGTGAAAGAAAATGTTTTGGAAAATTTAATGAATCATATTACTATTAATTACAACAACATTAATGACAATGTTGGTAATACAAGAGAAATTTCATTAAATTTATTTTTATGGGTAAGATTATATTTAATTAGGTAAATATTATTAAAGAACTATTGGATATCTAACGATTGTTATTATAATGATAGATATCAAAAGCTTTAATATTACGTACAAATGAATTGGGTTATGAATGTGTTAATTGTATTATAAAATTATTTAATGATGAATCTTTGGCAAAGAAAGCATCAAATGGATTTGAAATATTGATTGGTGAAAGTGAAACATTAAATAAAGAAGCGTTTGTTATAATAAAGGTAATATGATGCTCTATGTTTTATGTTATTAGGATGATTAATATGATCAATACAATTCCTTCATATACTCACATGCATATTTTATGTGATTTAGTTATTGTATAAACAAAAATTTTTCAATTTTAGTGTTACAAAATTAGTTGAAGGATTTAAAATTTCGAACGAAGGTAATTGATTGGCTTAATTAAATATTATTATTATTGTTATTATTGTTATTATATCATTCTAATTAATAAATAAATATTTTAGAGTTCAAACATTATTATTTAATTGCTTTATCTCATCTATTAAAAAATGTTCCTAAGCAAGTCTTAATTTTTGAAATTTCACATGTAAGCAATAACAATTTAATACCTATTTATCATTTTTCATTCTAACCAATATTTATGCCTTTTCTCTTTTTACAAAAAAAAATTTATAGATTTACCCATTATTAATTCATTCATTGTCATCATCGGATCCTGAACTTAAATTTTCAACAGTTAACGCATTCTACGTAATCATATTAAATAACCCTAAAACAATATCTGATAATATCAGTTCTATGATACCTTTATTGTTAAATTTAACTAAAATTAAAGAAGGAAACAGCATGGTAAGAAATTTAATTAATGATCCGTCTATGAATGAGTGAACTTCATATAATGATAGGTGGGAGAAAATGTTATGAAAAAAAAATTTTAATTCATGGGTGGTAACTAAGTAAAGTATTTTTCTTTCAATACAAGAGCAAAAAAAAAAGATATTACTATAATCTCTGAGATTTGTTTTATCTTATAGGATAAAAATAAATAAATTGTGGCATTAAAGTAAAGTACCATTTTTTATAAAAGACTGTCACAGCAAAAATTTTATTTATAAAAGTGGTACTTTATGAATTTTTTATGTTGATCATTTATCTTTCACTCATTCAAAGACGGATCATCAAATTAATTTTTAATTAACTTCTTAATTAAAAGAAATTAATCAACCGATTAAATTTTCAATAATTTATTAGAAAGTTCGTATATCAGCATTACAATGTTTAGGTTTATTACCTGATAAGTTGGCATTTGACATTTTATTTCCATTCAAAAATAAAATAATTAGAGAATTGAGTTTTGTATTGGATGATAAAAAAAGATTGGTCAGAAGAGCAGCTGTTGATTGTAGAAGTAAATGGTAAATAAATAAATATATTTATTATATAACATATTCACACATACATATGATTTATCATTCTGATAATTTTAATTTTGTTTTTAGGTTCTTATTTACAGGTTCTAGAAATAATCAATAGTTATTTATATGTTATTTATTGCTTTTTTAATTATTAAATATTTATTTATATACATTAAAAAAACTAAATAACTATTATATAATAGTTACAAATAAATTATATTATTATTATTTAAATTCTCCAAAACTGTTTTATTATGGCAATTTTCACTAATTTCTCGAAAATTCATTCAGTAAAAATTGAAAATCTCTAGTTGGAATATTCCATTGAAGGTTCTAATAATTCCGCAAGATATCTATATATCATCATCTTGATCAATTAGTGTATCAAGTTCTTGTGGTTTCTCGCAACTAAACAATGATTTTATAGTGTTGTGGATCACTAATATCATTTTTGTAAAGTTTAGCGACACGTAGAATCCTTCTGGAATTAAATATAAAATCGATCAGCTTTAATACAAATGTTTTAAATATCATAATTAAACAACATCATTGCATTACGCAAATTTATTTGATGATAATCTGTTTATGAAACCCCTCACTATAAGTTTTAAGATATATTATCATATAATAAAGAAAGTAAATCGTTTATAACTAAATTTTGATAATTTGAATATACAACAGTTTTATTCTTCCCCAAACAGCAACGGAACCTATGAGGAGGCCCGAGTGATAATCTAGTAAATACTTTTTTTATAAATTAACTTTAATTTTATATCGAGGCGCAGTCGAGTTCTTTGAAAGCCAGGGCTGTTAGAATTATTTATTTTCTTTATTCAAGGAAAAGTCATTTTTCAAAATATGTCTACATAAGTTAATGGCACTTGTATCTCCAAGAATAAATTATAAAATAAATGTTTAAATACAGATATACTTTTCTTCTAAAAATTTAAAAGATGCAATTTGTGATTCTGGTTGTTCTGAAAAATCAGTTTATATTTTAATTAATTTATTAACATTCACGATATACAACATCTAAATCCATAATGAGACAGTCGACTCTCTTTTTTAAAATCATAGTGTTGACAGTCACAATCAATGGGCTTTTCTGATTCATCCTGACGCATGTTTAATTAATAATTTTTTTCCTTTAATATGCTTGATAATATTATTATTTAGTTTAATATCACTTGCTAACATTTCAATATAAATTTTTTGCTGTCCCTTTCTATAATACTAAATGTGACCATTAATTAAAGATGCGTAAGTATAAGTGTTTGGTTTTACGTTACATGATTTCATTAAATTAAAAGTTTGTAAAGAATTTCTAATTTACCTAAATTAGTAAAACCTTCTATTCAAAAGATGCTCTAATTGCGGGAAAGGATGAACCTCTGAAATTTGAACTTTAAAGATGGGATAATGTCAAATGGAACAATACAACTAATGCATTTGCCTGATGGAGAACCAAAAGGAATCGAATTAGTTCTTAAAAAGTAATTTATGGCTAACGTCAGCCAAAATAGTTTGTATTGTAATGACTACAAAAAAACATCATCCTACTCAAGACTTTTGTTGTGCAGTTCGGATTCTTGAGCCTCAAACTGGCTTATGAATCAGAAGCCTTTAATCCATCATAAAATTATATTTTATCTTAAATTCCACTGCGAAGAATTACTTTGACGATTATACTTAGAAAAAAATGTACCTTTATATTTCTGGTATGGTATCCATCCATATGTTACATATTGCGTTAATGTACAATTGATGGACCCGTGTCAATCAAGGGTATCTTAAATATGAAATATTTGAAAAACATAGTAATGTGATGATGATGTTAGTGAGAATGTAAAAATAATGATTTATCAACCAATCTTTAAACACATCATCCACAATATGAAAAATACTAATGCAGTCACGCATTCCTTTTTACAAATAAATTATTATTATTTATCCATCAACACAACCACAAAAACACTACCACTGTATGTAAAATGAATAATAAATAATAACAAAAATTTTTGAGAGAATAAATGATTTTACAAAAAACTCTCTCATTCAAAGAAAAAATTTAACGGCAATTTCTCCCTAATTGAAATTATTAAAAGGAAAACGTTAAATAATTGTTGAATATTATATATTTTTAAAAGATTTGTAGTAGTAACTTACTGTTGCAACAAACACAGCTATGACAATCAACCAAATGATGATCCATGTAATTTGTGTCATGTTTGAATTACCAATATCTTCACGCAACATATCAAGCAAATCATTGATGACATTACATCTATCATTAAGAACTTTGACATGTTGTGAGATTTCAAGGTAAGCTAATTAAATAATAAAATAATAGAATTTTTAGTTCCATGTTATTTATTTTATAAATAATAATAATAAAATTTCTTTATTTTTTTTTACTTCTAATAGCATTGTATAATGGTTGTAAAAGTGGTTCAGACCAAAATATTTCCGGGGTATCTATTAAAAATAAAGTAAAATCAAAATAAAATTATCAATTATTTAAATAGGATTGAAAATCAAAAGGAAAATTATGCTATTCACCTAACACATTAGATATTAAATTCACATTTATGCGTAATTTAAACAATTCTCCACTCAATTTTGTTACTTGAGTTCGATTTCTATAAGTATCAAACAAAATGCATATATTAACAAAACATTTGTAGTGAGAAAAGCACAAAGGGCAAGTAATTACTAAATTGGATTATTAACTTACAAATTTAGTCTTCCAGTCAATGCTAACATTTTTGGTATTGATTTTGTTCTATTTATTGTGTCATCCATTTGCCATTCATACAAACTTAACTTTGTACTTTGACTAATGGCATGACTTATTGTTAATTTAATCATATGATTTTCAGATTTTAGTGTAATCATATCATTGAAAATTCTTGGTTGACTAGAAGAGTTAACATCATATTGAAAATGAAAAGTTTCACATTTAACTTCATCATCTTTTAATGGACGAACAACAAATTTATATGATGCTAAATCATCAAGTATTAATAATTCCTGTTCTTCTGTAAAATTCCAAAACACCACTACTCCATAATTAAAATAAAAAACCTCTCCAATACTATAAATTATTAATGGTGGTGAATTTTTCCTTAAAGAATCTTCATTACTTGTACCATTACGACTTCCATCTCCTTCAATAAAATTGCTATTATCTCCCTTATGATTTTCATAATTTTCTATTTGTCTATCAATAAAAGATTGTCCGCTTGATGTATGGGTTGGTGATGAGGATGAAATTCTTGTGTTTTTTCCAGGAATTAAAGGGAAATGATATGGTGCATAAAGGCATTCATCATATAATCTTTAAATATATGATATAAATGTTTTTTACAATTTTAATAACATTTATTATATTTTATAGCAATAATCAATAATATTGAATAAAATACTTTGGTTGAACATTATGCCCTTCTTTTAAAAATTCCATCAGAATACCAAGATAATAACCTTCTGCAGTGCAATAAGCCGTAGCTCTTGATTATAAAGTACTTTAATTAGTATAAAATCTCTTTCTGGATTGTTTTTGATGCTTGAAAAATTAATGGTAATAATAGTAGTAGTAAATATTTGATTAAAAAGGCCGATTGACTACCTTGGATATCTATAGTCGTCACGAGTTTTCTTTGACAATCTTTCTGCACCAACACTATCGAGGTTTTCAATAAGTGAGGATGATACTTCTTGTAATGGTGCTGGCGTATCGAAATACTCGGGAGGTATATCTTCAAAAGCATTGGTGATAGTAGCAGTGGCAGGTAAATTTTCAGACTCTTCAGGAAATAATACTAATTTTTGAGAAGTTTTGGTAGTTCTTTGTGGTGTTGTAAGTTTTGTTCGAATTCCAGTGGCAGAACTTGTTGGAGTTGTTATAGTAGAAGTTTTTAAGGGTAGTTGCTTTTTTGATTTTGCATCACTATTATTAGGTGAAGCCATTATACTTGTTTGAGCATCATATGGCATTTCCGTCCTTATAGATCTAGTATTTGTGTTTCCTCCTTCCTCCAATTCATATGCATTTGTAAACTCTGACATTTTTTTCTACAAAAAAAATATCTGCCGATCTACAAATCATGCTTTTCAATAGAACCGAGCTATGTTAGCCCCGTAAACTTCATAGATAGGTCAGTAATATATAACTTGACCCCAAGATTTGCAATAGCATTAGAAAAAAGACATTTTAAAACTATCTACTGTAACGAAATTAAATTTTACCAATCAATTGATTTAACTGATAATAATTCATTAATTTATGATTCTTTAATATAAAAAGATTTACATGTATAAAGCTTTTCGATACGCCGAATGTTTGGTTCCCTAATAAATCGGTTGACTACTGACTGATGTTTGACCCTATTAAACCTAACCAACCTTTTTGATATTTACATATAATAATTTAACCCACAGATTGGCCCTATTGATGATTGTTACATTATTTATAAATTTTAAAAAGTTTACGAATGTTGATTTGTGTCTGAATTTGACCCAGCTGCGGCAGCAACCTATCTATGAAGTTTTCGGGCCCTATTGGTCCGGTCCCAAGGACCAGTTTTTGGGACTGGTAGTTTTTTGGTCAATTTCGATTGTTTTACGTTTTATGAACGAGTTCGAGTTAACCTTTTAGCTACACTCGTTGGTTAATCGCAAGCTTTTATGTACAATGCTCGCCAATTAATTTATTTCCGAATTTGCTTACAACTATCCTGCTTACTTTCTTGTGCCTAGAAAGCTTCGGCGAATCTGTAGGCACACTTTATGGTACAAATAACAACGAATTTAATTATTTTTGTTCCATTAGCTTAAATTGTTAATAAATAAATAAATAAATAAATAAGTATATATATATATATATAAAATAAAAATACGAATATAAA